ATTTCCTTCTATCTGTCTGTATTTACTCTCTGTGATAAATGGATTTGATTATTGTTATTATTTCTAATTACCTTGCACCGAACATGAGCTAAACTTCTTTAGCTAGGATTATTGATGGAACTAAAGTTGCAATGAAGACTAATTTGTTATTCTAATTGCTTGTGTAATTTTCATTCGGTTTATTCAAGTGTGTTTATTGCTCAACTTTTGTTAAGTGACAGGCCATCATTTAATGGAAAACATAAACTGAAATTAATTCTGGAAAGATTGGTTTTAGTTGGAACTATCTTGGATAATATAAGGGAATAGTATAGGAATATATTACGGCCTTGTACAACCCATTAAAATTGGTGCTTACTCCAGGTTTTGAGAACTGAAATGCATAGGAATATGTTAGTTTTGGTTTGAGGAACTATAGACATAGACCTGTCGGAAGAGGATTATGCTGAATTTTAGGTTAGATTGAATGAACTTTGCTACAGCAATGTTAAACTTTGCTACAACAATCCTATAGCAAAATGTGGTCAGAGTTGTAACCGAGGGAAAATCAGTAATCCTAGCCCTTACCCATCATTGACATACAGCTTATAGCTTAGATCTTGTTAAGTCCGACCTCCTGTTTGCATTTAAATCACTCCCAGTCATTTTACTAATTCACGTTACTTAATCCTTACCGAATTTGTATTTGATTCTGTAATGACTGAGAAAATCCCAGACCTTAAATAATACAATTTATGTATTTAAGCCAAGGATTTTCTTAGACAAATATTATGTGACTGAAGGATTTATGGAATTAATATATGTATTCCTAAATTCAGTAGCAGATTTCATGTTAAGTTCATGTTTTCGATCAAGTAAATTCGATCGATAAATTCTCGTCGTACTTTAAGGCGGAATAATTTTCAGTACAAGTATAGTTTGAGAATCTTAATTTTAAGAATCTCCAAACACAGCGTGATGTTAGCAGCGTATAAAAAAAACGCACTGACATTTTAAAAGAATAGAAAATCCTTAATTGCCAGACAGCTAGGTTAAAGTCAGAAGATAAATATCCATAGTAGAAGGGTACAATGTGAACTCGGGAGTTGACACCGTCAGAAACAACGTCATTTCTG